TTAAAGGGTGGGCTCAGTTCCGCGCACACTGTGTCTCACCTAAAAAATCCAATGCGCAGGCTGGAAGGTGGAAAGACTTTCCCCGGTTCTTCGTTCGCGAAGACTGGCCAACACAAATAATACTGGTCCAAACACAGACCCCTAAGGGACACCACTTGTCACTGATGTCCATTGGGACTCTTAGCCATTTACCCCTACCCTCTGAATGTGAGCTAAGGCCCTGATTTCCTGTCATCCCTGATTTCCTCCTGCCTGCTGCCTGTGTTGCAGAGGACGAACTTCTGTAGCAAAGCCTCTGAGAAGTCTGTATCACAATATTTGTGAATTGTTAGTGCTGAGCAGTGCAAATTATGAAAGGCTACCGTTTTCAATTGCAGCATTGTATTTTTTTGGACATGTATGATCTATTAAATTTTAGAGAAACTCTGGATTAATGTATCCCTCCCCATCTTTCATTTCCTCTTCTATATTTCTAGGACTGTAAATTTATGCTTATACTGTTTTGAACCTTATCTGTACTGGTTTAGTAGTAGTGAATATGACCTCAGGTTCCCAACTGCATGTAAACAGTATATCCTGACACAGACCAACCAATTGCATCCACATTCTGGCCCCACTTTGGTGGGATGTTTGTGGGTTTTCATGGCAGAATTTTTAGTATGTTTGTTTATTTAAACCTGTCTGCCTCATTCACATCCTGTTCTCTATGGTTACTCTGGATTCGCTGAACAGAAAGATAAAATCTTCAATTAGGAATCTTCCCTCATGGCTATCTGTGTCCCCAACCTGTTCTATGATTCTATGAAATATAACATTTTTCATGTCTTGAATGGAAAAAGAGTCATTTTCTGCTAGTCTGCCCAAAGGTTGTGACCTTCAGATCTTGGATTCTGGCATACCTGAACAAGATACCTCTAACTGTTGCAACTAACTTTCCAGTTCAAAAATGCAGTCTCTATCTGGGCTATATTGCTTTCTCCTTTTCTGAAAGCCTTTCTCATTCTTTTGGAGTTCCTCACTCTTTTCTTTATGCTGTCTTCTATTTTTGGACCCTGAATTTCTCGGGAGATGGCTGTGCTGCCTTGTAGAAGCTGGTCATGCAAGGAGATGAAGCCTTAGGAGCCATAGAATTACTTTGAAAGACAAGATAGATCAACAGACCTTTAACAGTTCAAACATGTTTATCCAAACAGGATAAGGGAAAGCTAGGTCAAAGACCAATTACAAACTTAGGAAAGCAAAACAAGATAGGAAAACAAGAGCATGCAGATAAGATGCACAGTACATCACACAACAAACAAATCATGTCAGCAAGGGCATCCAGCGATAAACATGAGGATGTGTAGACAAGGGGATGTGAAGAAGTCCCTCATCGTCTTTCCTCAGCTCCTGGAAATGCTGCCAACTATGCCTTCATTGCCAGTGAGATGAGTTTGTAGTTAGAGTAAATTCTGCTGGGATGCTGGGCACTTTTATCTTGTAAAGTGCTCAGCTTGGCTACCTTTCCTTTCTCATGAGGCAACTTGAAGTGCAGTATCAGTATGTCAGGCTTAGAGGCTCAGCATTGGTGTCAGTTAGGATTGAGACTGGGAAGAATGGTTTCCCAAAGAAGTGGCTTTTCTGGTTCTTTTCTCTCTTTCTCTCTCTCTTTTTTTTTTTTTTTCCTTTTTCTTTTTTCCCCCTCCTAAATTGTCACAGAAGCAGAGATTGACATTGCCTGTTCTCCACTTTTTTATTGTTGACACGTTGCATATTTTAAGGCAGAAAACCCTCCTGGTCATCTGAATGGGACTGTAATCCAGCTCTTGCTGGACTAAGACTCAGCACTGTAGCAGCCTGAGTAAAAGACTTTCCACCAGCAGCATTTGTGGAGATGGAAACTCTATTAGATTAAGATCTAAGGAAATACAATAACCGGACCCTAATTAGCCATCTACACAGAAATGTTAAACATGGTATGTTTGCAAATGGATGCCTAAGAGAGAGTCATTTGTTTTCCAGCTTATCAGGCTCTGGATCTCTTACACTGGGCAGCAGTGACATCTCATTAAATTAACTGATCCTAGAATTAATGCCAGGGTACCTTGTCAGGGAACAGAACATGATTGTCCATGCTGTTAAAATACTAGAAAGGACCTGGAGTGGCTTAGGGTTTTCCCTGGCTTCTTCCCCCAAAATTCCCAAGTAGCTTGGGATTTAACACAAGCAAGAGACAATTCTTCACAAACCATTTTGGATGAAAACATATTACTTTGCATTATAAAATAGCGTGGCTAGAGACCATTCTATACCAGTTGTCTTCAGGGCCAAAGAATGGTACCAAGTGTATTTAAACCACTAGTTTGGACAAATTCTAAGTGTGTGGAACTAGAAAAAATGACAGAATCCATGAGTCAGTCCTAATGGTGTTTGCACTTCTGAGGCCAACTGGTTAAACTGTGGGAGAAGAAGGAAATAACAAGTATAATGAACTGAAGAAATGACCTGACATTGTTGTGTGATAACTCCTACACAGAGCTTTCCTCCTCTGCGTGCTGGTGGGATTTGTGAGTGGATTAACACCTGCATATTTCTTCAGATGTCCCAGTAGAAAATGGAGCAGGTATCTGAGACATATGAATGACATGCTGGATGTGTTTAACACAACAAAGGTGGAGATATACATGGACATACTGTGTGTGTTTACTATATAGTGTCTTTGGAGGAGACAAAAGGAGAACAAGAGGATATAAGAATGGGCAGCTGTGCCAGGCTATTTGGTCCTCCTGGTAACGTGACTTTCATTAAATCAGCAGACATTTGTGACATATGCAGGGCTAAGATAACGATAATTTTCTTGTTCTTAGGTGTGAGCTCCCATTCCCTGCAGCAGAGTAAGCTCCTAAAGTAATAATGAATGAAAACTCCCAATAAGGAATAACTTTCACTACCAAGAGTGGTCATTACTACAAAGCTGATGATTTGCAGTGGTGCCCACACTGCAGTGGTAAAAAAAAAGGTCTTTTTTGTCCCTTCTATGCTCAGATTCTCCCAAGAAGCTTTATGGCCCTGTGTCTCTTTCACAGGCTACGTGCAATATAAATTTCCATTCCCCTCCCAACTCTTTCTCTGCCATTTAATTCTTCATCAATACCTCAAATCCTCTTGGTTTTGATAGATGAGCCCTGCATTCCTGCTAAGCTGTTTGGCTTGGAGGAACATATGAAGAGTAAAACAAATGAATGAAAATGGTAAGTGGCACTGGTAGTAGCTACTAGAAGTAGCTAACTAACCAAACCAAACAGATTTCAATAGTTTTGTTACTTTATATAGTGGAAATACTTAATTTCTTTAATGCAAGCCTCTTTTAGAGACTCCTTCCAAAATTTCACAGAACAGGCATGCAAAATAATTTGTTGAGTAGCAAATAATTAAGAGTTACTGAAAGATCCATGAAGGAAACATTTCTGAAAATTCTCTAAAAATGTTAATACACACATTACAAATTACTACCCAGGAAAGTTCAGTCTTCTCATGGAGAGTCATATTGTGAAATTACAACACAATTCCCTTAAAATAAGAATGATTTATAATTTCTTTTAAAAGTTTGAATGAAATGCATATTGCAGATGACTAATAAGACTTATTAATAAAAAGATGCAAAATCTGCTCTTCCAGAAGATTTTCTTGGGAATAATCAATCCTTATGTTCCAAAACTGTATCTTTCTGCGTATCCATGTTGTCACTCAAATTGTCCACACTCTCTAAACATTACCAGAATACCCATACAGTCATTCAAAGAACACAGCCATGAAGCAACACTCTACAGTTTCTGATGCCACACTACCCTTACAGAAGTAACAAGGAAAAGTAAAAAATTGTCACAAAAGTGCATGAAAAGAAAACACCCAAAACAAGTCCCCAGAAAGACTGGCATCATGCTTATAGATATTCCAGGAAGTGAAAGACTAGGCAAGTTCATGAGTTAAACCTTGTCTAGTGAATAATTAACAGGTCAGCTTCAAGGTCAAGCTTAATATAAACTCTTTGTTTGGTTTTGTTGTTGTGACTGTGATGTTTTACTTTTAATGTCTAATAAGGGGTTATACCAGGTAATCCTGGTACATTTATTTATTTAATAGGTCATATTGATTTAATTTTTTAAATTTAAGCTACTGTTTTGATAAGTATCTGTTTCATGGCATCCCATACAATTCAGTGTTGTGTCCGTTTTATAGTTAAGCATACACAAATGATAAATGAACACTGTTGCTAAGGTCACAGTATTAGTCAGCCAAAAGGCTGGGAACATATACATTCTGTAAACGTGTTTTTATAAAATTGCAGATTATGTACTATTTATTTCATAACGGCCCTTGCCTCTTTTTGCATAAAACATGGATATGAAGTGAGTTGGTGATGTAAAGAGATTATGGTATGCATTTAGTAAGATTTCATCCATATTTGTGACAGAATTTGAGTAGTGATGCAGCAAAGGCTTCCAGGGAGAAAAGAACAAAGTCAGTGGATAAGGCAATTGAGTGCTGTCTTGAAAGGTAAATTGTAACCTTGTCCCTGAGTGTGTAATTGATGCTACATGAGTTACATTTATCACAGGTAGCCACTTTTTTCAGTGTCTGATGAGAATCTGATTTATCAACACACTGAGTACTTAAATCTGGATCTGAAGTGAATGACAATTATAAGTGGATAAATGAAATATGGCATAGTGCTAAATAGTTATAAAAAAATAAAGGCCAAGCTCTCATATGATACACCTAAGATGTCTGGATTCTTTTATCTTAGCTCCTTTGGATCTCAGAATTCCCACTTGTTGACTGAAGACAATAGCATGCTTTGGCTTTGTAGCAGTGTTTCAAAATAAGCGTGCCAGTGTTTTAGAAGCACTCTGCCAGAATGACCACTTAAGAAAAAACACTGGTGAAATCTGTAGTTCTGCATTCAGAAAATTCTGCATTCTTACTTGAAGAAAATCTAAGAGATAGAACATAATGGCAGATCGAGTGAGAGAAGTGGTGGAAAATTTCTTATTAACTAAGTGCTTTCTGTTCAAGTGCAATGCATGAAAGGGGTCTCCAGAACAAAACTGGTAAATGGCCATGTATGTTAAACAATACAGTAAAATAATATGCATGCAGGGAAGCAATTAAAAGTTTCATAGACCTGGTGTTCCCCAACTCTTGAGCGTTTTCACGTGGCTCCAAAATGGATGGATATGTGGTGTTTTCAAGAGAACTATTAAAGTCTGTGTTCTTGCCAAATACAGTGCCTAGACCATGGGTATGTTAAAGCCTAAACAGCTTTTCTAATAGTGTCCTTGACAAATGTATGAGTAGATTAAAACAGGATTTTAGAGCTGAAAGAGAATGACAGATGCTATTCTTGACAATGTTATTAGATCTGTGTAGAACACAGTGCTATCACTACAAATGCCCACTGCCACAGCCCAAGAAGAGCACTTCCTATGGCTCCTGGGGGAGAAGCTTCCCTTCTTTCAGGAATAGATCTGACACTTACACGGAGTACTCAGTGTGAGGGCATTTATGGTGGTGCAAATGTTTATTGCCAACAAATAGAACAAGAAATGTTGTTCATTTCAAAATGGAAATTCATTATTAAGAGAGGAAAAGAGGTGACTGCTATATGACAAGCTCATGGTTCAGTTACATTTAGGTGTCCGTTACCAAGGAGTAGAGTTGTAACTTCCTACTTTTACAGTGCTTTTTGACATAATAAGGTAAATGTATGGGATAACTGGTGCTAGTGCTTGGTATCAAACCATCTGCAAAGTATTTTATGTGTCAATCTTGCAGATTTCACAAAGACGAGCCTTCAAACTTTGTTTGGGGAGGACCACAACATTGTCATGACAGAAGGTCAATAAAAAGGCTTAGGAAAATACACAATGCCTGTCTGTTACAACTGCTGTATAAGTATTATTGTACAGGCAGTTTCCCTGTGGTATGGTTATACCCTTACAAGTATGCTAGGAGCTATTATGAACTATGCCCTTATCATTTGAGATAGAATGCAGTATTGAAGCAGATACGTGGCAGTGACATGGTATCTCACACCACATATGGCTGCGTTCTTACCCACAGCTCCTGCTAGGAAAAAAAAAAAAAAAAAAAAGAAAAAAAGAGAACAAACATTTTGTTGCAGAGCAGGAGCAAGTCAAATAGCCAAAGCTGTTTGTTACTTTTTCTGTTGATGATTTTGAAAGGTAAGGAGACACACTGTTGGACAAATTTTGCCACGATATAGGATTGCAACAATGTAAAGGAGCTGTGCATTTATCTGTGGGAAAATAAAAGTTATCGTGTTGTCTATCTTGGATTACCAAGTTTTTTACAAAGACTAGGTGATCATGGGTTTTGCTCATTACCGTGAGAGTGGAGATCATTCCTCTGGCTTCACTTTCTTTAATGTATATGCACAGTCATATGACTCGTTTTCGCATAGCCAAAACCCTCTACCGAAACAGGTGCCTGTCTGCCCATCCCGCTCTTCCCATTGCCCGCTGAGAATAACTAAAGCTGCAGTTCTTAGTCCCTGCCTGTGGCACTCCAGAGAAGTGCTCAGAGATGACAGGCAGGAAGAGAGACCGAGGGGACCGAGGTGGGGACGCGGGGCCCGCCGCGGACCATCCCGGGACGACCCGGGCAAGGGCGAGGCGGCGGCAACCAAAAACTCTCCTCCTCCCTCCCTCCCTTCCTCTCTCCCTCCCTCCCTCTCTTCCGTCCCGTCCCACCGCCCCCTGGGCGGGCCGCCCGTCGCGGCCTATATAGGGGCGGCTCGGGTTGCCGCTGGCGTAGCTCGTCCTTTCTTCCAACCCTGGGCTGCTCTCGGGAAAGAGGCGGATTCCCCATTGCGCCGCTGCCATGGCTTCGGTACCCTCCGCCGGCTGCCTCCTGGCCAAGAACCAGTACTACAGAAGTGAGTTGCTCAGGGGGGCTGGGAGCTGCCTGTCGTCCCCAAACACACCCTCTCGTTCTTCTTCCCCTCTCTCGGACTAGGGAGCTCTTCTGGAGGAGGGAGGCTGAGCTCATCGAGCCTCTCTCGAGGAAGTGCCCGGATTGTTGGCACTCGGGAAAGGTCAGAAAGTGTTCCAGATGATGTCTGGATGAGCTAGAGGCAAAGGCATGTCTTTCTGCCGTAGTTTTTAATTTCTTGGAGAGACTTTCATACCAAGGAACTCGATGAGCATTTGCTTCTGGTTATTCACCTATTCAGAGCTTCTAGCTGTGCTTCACGTTTACTTTGTAATCTTAAATGCAACACAAAATCAATTCATGTCTTGTTTCTAAATATGTGAAATAATCACATTCGAGAGTACATGTGGTGTGTAAGGATTCCATCGTACAGGAGTGTACACTGTTGTGTGAGTGTAGTATATGGTTGTATCACGATGGAAACTATAGCAATTGGGTTGTTTTGGACTTGAATGTTCAAGTTCAGACTTGTTTGTTTTGATAGCAATGTGTGCAGGCTCCTAGGTTTTCAGTCATTTTGCTGAAAGTTATCCAGATAGATCTCAGTGTGCTTTTAAGTGAAGCATAAGTAGACTGAGAGATCAACTGATATAAAAGTTTTTATAAAACAACTGTAATAGAAAGGTGTATATAATATAGAAGTTATACTCTGTAGCCCAGTAAACTTGATTTCTCCAATGTAGCAGCAGGTCTGAAAAACTCTTGACATAGAAATAGTGTAGGCTCTCAAAACACTTTTTTAATTATGTGTGTCTCTGTTTTCCATGAACAGCAAGACTGAACTCGGAATCCAGTGTTTCTTCCAGCTCCTCCTGCTGTTCAGATGCTGTGAATGTTACAGACCAGGAAAAAACATTTCACGGTATTATTCCCTTCTTTGAGACAGTCTTCAATTTTGCCTGTTTTGTTATTCATACAGTATCTAATAATGTGGTCTCTTCCTCCTTTGACAGGGTTACCTGACTTAATTGATAAATATTGGTGGATAAAAAGCTTCTTCCATAGTGAGCCATCTCCACCACCGGTTGGCAGAAAAACACTCTCAGCAAGCAGGTTAGTTCTGTTTTTACAACAGTGGGGATAATTTACTTGCTGCATTTTCCTTTTTCCTCAAAGTGCTACTAAACAAGTCTTAATCCACTAAAACCATGCTATTTTCATGATTTACACTTGGAGTATCTTTTGTTTAGGGCTATAGAAGCTTCCTGTGTTTTCATTTTAATAAATGGAATCATATGCTACTTCACCTTATGCAGGTGTTAGAGTCTATTACTGTTTTACATTTATGGTGCTGTTTATTTAATCTTCTGCCTATAGCACTTGCATACCCATTTATACAGTACTTTATGTTAAAGACCTGATATGAATGCATTTGAAAATACTTAAACAGATAAATATCTTTGAGAAAAATACAATGAAAATTCTACTCATATAACAGTTATATATGCATTTCTGCAGTACCAACAGTTGAAAAGGACAGCGTGATGGATTTACTGACTGAGATGTTACATACAGACCTGTTTTTCCAAGAGGCTTGGGATCTTCCTAATGTCTGGATTCAGCTGCAAGAAGAAAACAAAAGCTTTAGGAAAGTGGAAAAGTGTGCTTTTAAAATATTTGTCAGTAGCTTAAATGATACTGCTTAATGGATATGTCCATGGCCCACTGTGTTCTTTACAGAATTGCGTAATTTGAGATGTCTTTCTAATGGAAGTAACCAGGATTCAATATTCAGTTGAACTGAAAAATTAGAGAAAAAATTACAGCAAAGATAAGATATTGTTGGTTTAGGAGAAGAATCTGTATTGGATGACTTTGCAATGGGTTAAGTTACCTTTAAGATATCAACTCTATAGGCAGTCACACTGATACAAAGATTCAGATCTATAGTCTGGATCTGTAGACTGCTAATATGGTACATGTCCTCCATCAAGTATTTGTGTACCAGTTACAGGGAGTAAGTTTACAAGAATGATTGTCAATTGCTTTGCTTTTAGAAAGCTCACGAAGAAACAGTTTGGTCTCTTTAATCACGCAGGGTGCACAGATGCTAATCTCAAATACCCAGGTACCACTTTCATTCCTATCTATGCATGTTGGTTTTGGAGGACATAATATAGGAGATGGACAAGAAACCAGTCTGACATTTTCCAAGGAGGAAAGCAACCTTAATCAGAGTTCATGCTCCCAGCTCTGTTTTAGATTTGTCTCACCGGCTTTGTTGTGGCTTGAAGAGCTACTTGTTCTTGGGTGATTAATTCTATCAGTACTCTGCTGTCTGTCAGCTTAGTTAAGTGCTAGATCTGCCAAAATGTTCCACTCAAGGTAATGACACTGTTATTACCCAAGTCTACCTTTGTTGTGATTCATGCTCTTGAAAGACACTGTAATATTGCGATGCTGAAGACCAAATGAAGCGAATTAGTACATCAGATTATTTATTCTGCTGGGTATGACTGAAATGCATTAGAGAATATGGCAAATAACAAATATTTGGCTGGATGATAAAATTTGTGTCAATTATCTATGCAACTTTTTCATATATTATCAGTAAACCTGCCAGATGTTTTTCCCTCACTTTATGAACTAACAGCAGAAAATATTAATGTAACCAACATAATTTTACTATGGGTTAATGGTTGTCATGGCTATGCATAACTCCAAAGTGTATCAAGTGGCTGCGTCAGGAAGCTTACAGTCTCAGTGAAGACAAAAAATGCATGGCAGGTGACAACAGACAAGAACACAATTCTGAAAACATAATTTCAAGAGTCTTTAAATTGACTTGTTATGTATCTTACTTTACTTCTATTGTATAGTTTCATCTTTGTCCTTTAAGTGTACAGAATGAGCTTTTTTTTATGCTAAGTTTTTTTTTATTAATAAATATTTAATCAGTATTTGGTCTGACTTATTTTTGGCCTTCAGTAACAAACTGGTGTTCCATGTTGCTTGTGGTGCAGTTGGTAGGTGGTTTGGGGGTTTTGGAATGTGCATGTATTTTTCTTCTAAGTATGAAGAATTTGTAAAATTTAAAATTCCCTCAGAAGTCTGTGTTGTGTGTGTCACATTCTTCCTTTAGTCACTTCAAAGTTTGATGTGAGGTGAAAAAAGAATGTAGGCTAGGAAAAAGACCCTAACAACTTTTTGTATAAGATCATGTTGTAAAGGAAGTGAAAAAGACAACTTACGGGTTGCGAGGAGGTGATTGTGTCTCTCTTTGAAGATGCTTGAAATCACCGAAGAAAAAGATGCTGTAGCTCTATTATTACACATGAGAAATACCAGTTTCAGAATTGACAATCTTCCCTACTACTTGTTGAACTTAAGGTGTTTCTGTTCTTATATAGTCAAGAAATGGGGTGCAGAACAGGCTTAAACAGCTGATAAATCAAAACACTTTTGTTGTTGTTGTTTGAGGGGCAAGGCTGGCAGAAGAAGAGAAGGGAGACTGCATGTTCTTTACTTTCATCTGCTTAGGTTCTACGAGGTACTTGTTTTTGTAATGGCATCATGGTGACAGAAACCTGTGCCCACATCACCTTTTACTGTGATCAGCTGAGCATTGGAGCTGCACCACTGACAAGTCATAGTGATTTCTGCCAGTTCTTCAACATACGCAATGAATCAACCCTATAAAATAACCTCCAATGTTGCTATGACAAACTTCTGAGAGGATATGGGTTAATGGGACATGAAAGTGCTTGTTATCAAAGGGTTGCATTTTGTTACTTCATGGTAATGGGAAAATGTTAATTTTCTTGATTTAAATGCCAATACAGTGTAACTTTGGGAGGAGAGGAAAGCCAAAATTTAAAAGATTTAGAGAGAAGCTGTGATAAATATGAAGGGGAAAGCTATATTGTATAGTTTAAATACAACTTAGAATAAGAAAAACAAGAAAATAATATGATTTCATATACCTGTCTGGGCAAGACAGGTACAAATGTTTAATTGCAGTGCAAAAAAAAGCTTTTTCCTGTTAGAGGGTCTATAGGTAGAGATTTATTTTGATGAAGCTAATTTGTATATTGCTACCCATCTGGAAAAAAAAAAGTATCAGGAACAGGACTTGTGCCAGTATGGAAGTACTAAGTTAGATCCAATTATCAAAACCAAGTTAGAAATGGAGAGCTGGACTTGAGAAAGACTTTTTTTTTTTTTCCCCCCTCAAACATGCATGTAGCAGTGATATTTAATAATGGGCTTCCATTTCCCTCCTAAGAGAAAAGTGAAGTCATATTCTCCTGATCCTATGAATATCCTATTTTAGGAGTCAAAATAAAAGAAAAATGTTACATCATTTGTTTTGGTTCAAGAAGGATGAAATCTTTCTGTTGAGCACATTTAGAGAGAGAAATTAATTATATTGAAGTATTTTCCTCCCAGTTTGTTGTGGTTCAGAAGAAAAACCATAAAGTTACATTTCTTTCCAAAGGCTTTCTTGCCTGTATGTGAGGTAAGCAATGCTACATATTGTGGATGGACAATAGTGAGGATTAACTCTAAAGACTATAACTATTGCAGTGTAATGGGATTTTTTGGCATAATTGTTTTTTCTGCAGAAGCAAGAATGATAAATGAACCCAGGTAAATAAAACTGGGCTTCAAATACAGGTAAATAAACCTGGATTTCAAATAAGAATGAAGAGCAAATCAAACAGCAAGTTAAACTCATTTTGAGTTGTTAGGAGTAAGTAATATCTCTGTAACTTATTTGTTAGGGTCACTTTTCTTTGTAATATTACAACATTCTGATATTTTAAAATAATTGCAAATCCCTCTTTATTTTTTTCATGATCTTACCCAGTTATATATTATTTCTTCTTGAAAGCAGACTCTCTATTATTGTCACTTCTCAACTCTTCCATGAAGGAAAACCCAAGCAGGGTTTATTCAGCCATTTCTACAAGGATTAATGCTGTTTGCAAAACATTTCTTGGGTTATTGCACTTACAGCTGGTGACTGAAAATTTTGACCATGACCATGTTTGGTGCCCTGTCTGACTCTTCAGAGATGGAGGGATTTCTCTCATATTTCTTTTGTCATGCACTCTGTCATATGCCATTTTAAGCTGTTCTATCAGTACCAGATGTGAAATATACTGCATGTAATCACTGGAAGATAGGTCTTTGTAATAGAGAGAGGCTATCACTAATAGGAAAGAGAATAATATCAGTGTACTGGGAGGAAGTTGTGTAAAAGTACATTTTTTCCTTTTTCTCTTCCTTCCATCTCTCTCAGAAACTGTGAAGAAAAAAATCAGTTTCCCAAGCCTACACCAAAAAAGAAGATTCAACTCCCAATTGCAGTACTCAGTGGTATGTTCAGAGGTACTCTGTTGGCTTTTTCTCAAAAATGGAATTCTAAAAGTGCTTGTAGTCACAATGGCAGGGCGTGATCTGGACAGAGATATACTACTAGAGTAACTCATAACATGGAAAAAAAGGACTTGTGCAGTCAAAAAGTTTCTTTTCTCAGCTGTGTTAGCCACTGCATCTCTTTCAAACTTGAGCCATCTTTGGCTTCAACAAAATTAATTTGCATTTTTACCTGTAAAGCAGAACCTATAATCTCCCTTTACATGTTTCTTTGAGGTAGCACTGCTGGGTGCAAGATAAAACTGTTTTGTCAGTTTGTAGAGGAGCACCAAGGTACATCTTGATGTCAGTCATCCTACAGGGATCATCTCCTGGGCATACTGAAGCCAACATGTCCAGGAGGAATGTGTCAGTACTGGAAATAGCTTTTTAAAAAGACATTATTCAGATTTTGTTTTCCTTTTGTTTTGTTTTCTGTTGCTTTTTTTGTTTTGCTGTGAAAAAAACCCTCATCCTGACTTTGAACTAGTCAGTGATGGAGAGTTTTGTAAAACAGCCTGGTAAAATTTTCAGGAGTTGATCACCCTCACCCTTAAAGATCTTCCCCACTGGTACCAACTTGAATATCTCTGTGAACAGCAGTTCAGAGGTTATGCAGGAATGCATGACCCAAATACCAAATAAAGTTTTAAAGTGCTGAATCCACCTTCTCTTCCAGGATCTTTACACTGATTTCTGAAGAGGTTGGATCATTTTGTTTAATATCCAGCTCCACTGTCTTCAGGAAGTATTTCAGCACAATAGGAGTGGATCAATAGGTGGAAGCAGCTGGAGATGTGCTTTTTGCTTCTGTGATTCAAAGCTAAAAGCCAGGCTCCTAGAGTGTATTTCAGACTCTGTAGTTTACAAACTAAGTGAGCCAAATGAAAAGGAAAATGGTGATGGTGCAGTTTTGACATGGCATCAAAATGTTGGCCAGTTTGAAATCTTGGACCCTGAAGCAACACTCAGTTCACTTGTAAATGGAATTTAATGAATAGATTTCTTAATATAACAAATAACAATATGTTTGAAGAGTTCTACTCATTGCACTAACTACTTAAAAGAAATATGACAAAAATCAATTTTTTTAGAATTTAATTTTTAAAAAATTGCAATCCTCTCTTTGATGACATGTATTGCACATTTTTTTTGTTTTTAATTCCATTATTACATTGTATATAGAGTTTCTTCTTCATCTTGAAAATAAACATTCTACATTTTGAATATATTTGGATATATCTTTCTAAGAACCTATACATTTCACATTTTACTGTCTCATAATAGTGCAGTAGTTAAAAGATAATACTAGGGGTAAAATACACAATGAAATAAGTTCCTTTGAGTTGGTATTTTCCCATTGTATAATACCCAGATTAATTTAATGCTGTCATGACTCCAGCTCAGATTCACCATATGCTTAAGTTCAGATGAAACCTAGAATCACAATAGAATCAAATTGACAGGATATGTTAGTGGCTAGATGATTTCTCCGTGGCAGTAGCAGATTGAGTGAAGTCTTGAGTATAAAATGCAAGGTAAATGTATGTTGTATGTAGTAATCCTTTCACATTCTGTCACAATAAAATGCCCACCTGCAAAAACCACTATAAATTCAGGAAAAAAACCAACATGACCCTCCACCTAAAAATTCTTTCTTCTCATTTTGTGCTTTCCAGAAACATATTTTTCTATTTAAGCATTAGTTGCTTTATGATTCTTTCTAATGTCATTTCAAAAGACTGGCAAGCTGAAATGCATTACACAAACAGATTGTTACTTTCCCTAGTAGTTTTAAGTGATGTTAAAATTATTGTCCTACATTAATCTTATGCTGTTATTGTTTAATGTATTTAGTGGGGGAGTTGTTCTCTGTTTATCTGTCAGCATACTGTGGTTTGTTGTCTGGAGGGGGCAGCTTTGTGGTATAAACACTTTTTAAACACCTACACACCTCTAAAATAGAGCTCTAGTTACTAAGCGGGTCAGCTCAGACCTTCTGAGATAAATGTGCACAGGCTGTAACTCTCTCATGTAAGGACTGATTTTTATTATGTATTTTTACAACACAGCATTAAACATTAATCTTAAAAGGCATCAACAGCTAGGCATTATAAAATTATATGAGACCTTTATGACTAATTCTGAAAAAGAATGTCCCTTCTCTTCTCTTTGGACATTAAACATCCACAATATTTATTATATATTTTAAAGAAAGACTTGCCAAGAGTAAGGACTAAAATTTGTTGGCTAAAAAATTCTTCAGCAGGCCTTTTTCAGTACAGTAACAGTCAAAAACTGGTATCCTCTGTATATTCATCTTGCTCTCACTAACACCGTTTAGTTCCACCCCCAAACAGGAAAGTCTCTTGAGGTTTTTTTTTTAACTGGAGGTATTTCTTCTTCAGTGTCACTTAATATTGAAAAACACTGAAATCATAAGTGCTTTTCAAAATAAATAAATGTAAATTCGTTGATGTTAGATGTGAAGTAAAAAAAACCAAAAAAGGACACAAGTGAATGGTGACAATAGTCATTTACA